AAAAAAAAAAAAAAGATCTGGGGAATGCTTTTTTTCTGTTACCTGAAAAAATATTAAGAAACTTAAGATCTATTTGACAATACTAAATACTGAAGAGAGCAAATGACTAAGTTAGTACCACGCAAAGTGAACTTCACTGGACTTCCTTTGCGAAGAAACGTTGCCATAAGGACCATTACATAAGCAATCAACACAGCACACAGGAAACATTTAACATGTCATCATGTTATTACATAATCCTTGGACAGTCAAAATTAGCAAGCCTGTAATTGTTACTAAGGCTGTAATTCTGCCTTATTTAGTGGAGGGAGATTCCGACCGTACAAATCTTTTTTTATTTCTCTTTACAAAGGATTTACAGTATTGGGGGGAAGAAAAAAAATAAAAAAGGATGCATGTTAAACACCATGCTATCAAAAGCAAGACAGAGCAAGATGTTGTAAAACATAGTTAGGGAAGCATTAGTTTTATTTTGTCATCATAAAATAACATTGTTTAAAGATCACACAAATTTGATAGACCATCTTTTTTCTCCAACATTAAGCCAGCACTACAGTTGAGAAAGGTGTTCACCTGTTTCTCTGTAAATTATACTTTTAAGTAAAATAATTTGATTCTCTAAATATGCATTTTAATTCATTATGTCACACTAAATATCTTGCTCCTTTGGTCAGAGATAGTAAATGAAGACTTCAAATACTTGTATCTTCAATTTTTAAAAATTCAATATACATCCTTAACCAAGGAGTATTTACGCTACACACAAGCCATAGATACAAAATACACAGTATATACATGTTTTGAAAACAAATTGGAATTTATAAAAACTCAATAGCCAAATCAAAGTAATTGAGGCACAAAATTAAAAGTAGGATCTTCATGTCTTGATTATACAGACTATTCTGTGAACAATCAGGACTGTTTCATAAATATATATTATCTACAGAATTTGCTGTGCCACAAAAAGCCAGCTGTGTTTAAGCTCAAAAGAAAAATTGCACTTTGAGATTGTTACAGTTAACTTCTCATTTTTCTCCTCGAATATCATAATCTGGTCCTAGTGCTTTTGGCACAGGTATCGAGTTGTGGTTTTGCTACACTTTCTTATAAAACACAAGGTTCTTTTATTTTGTTCTTTAAAATCTGAAGAGTCTTAAACAAACCTAGAACTTTGATACAAATCTATATAGCTACAATTGCTTCATTAAATAATATACACAAATATGCTCTTCAATCTTAAAACATCTTGACAACTGGATACGAAACAGTCACTTGTATTATCTCCAGCCCCCTTAATCTTATGCGTTATCAGTCTGCAAGGGAATAAAATACGGCTTCTGGCCACATCTTGCACTAGATCACACGCCAGTGTATAAGGACAGAAAATAAATGTATAATAAAAAGATTGGATAAATTAGAAGGGGTTTCTTGGTCTTGAATTCTTCTCCAACTAGTAATGATGCAGCACTGTATGCAGCCCAAAAGACTCCAAACAACTGAAAAATAAGATGAACAGTCTTAGCTGACACCACAAGAAAATCTCTCCAAACACCAAGATAAAAATCAGTTATTCTCTCAACATAAATAAAAAGAACTCCCCCAAAAAAAGAATTTTGGGAGGAAGAACTCCATACACACAAAAAGAATATCCTCTGCATTTTCATTTAAGTTCAGAGAAAGATTTAATAAACAGGCATGTTATTTTGAGACAGTTTCATGACGTGAACAGCTCAGGATCCACATTTAAGTTTTCTCTAATTTAAGACATATGGATACCATAAAGCAAGCCGTAAGCTTACATACACTGTCAATCTGAAACTTCACTGGATTAACTTTTCTTTCTACCTTGACTGTCCCCAACTATTAACCTCTCCCTTTCTTTAACCAGAAGAGTTACTATACTTGACTATTCCTCCTGCATTATGTACCAGAGGGTTAAATTGCCATTTTTTATTTCAGAATTCATCTGGCTCATAAGCTTTTCTTTAATCATGGTGCCCCCACCTCAAGGTAACTGAGCCTCACATTCCCATTCCTTTCAGGTGCAGTGAGAAGCCTGCCAAAATACAATCTGTATCAAAACCGATATTGCTTACTAAGTTAAGAAAGAACCAGTTTAAAAGACTCGTACAAAGTAACATTACCTATGAACATCCACTGTGTTATTCTGAAATTAGCATGCACACTTAAAAAACAAAAAGTCTTGAGGTCAGTGAACTTGACTCAAACCTCAAACTACCAAGGTTACAGCAAAAAGTAACCACTTATTATCCTCTAGCAGCACCTTGAATATTAATAAAGGAAAAATACTTAAAACCAAGTGGCAGCAAACACACTGTAATCGTCTGCAAAACACAAGACCAAAGATGGCAGACATTACAGGACCCCTGCAAAGAACTTTTTCCACACTTCTGTCAGAGGAGCTGAAGCCCCTTGAGGGATTATGTGGCTTGTTCAACTGCCATTGTAAGAAAACCAAACAACCAAAAAAAAAAAAAAATGCAAACCAAAAACGCAAAACCACCACCAAAAAATTTTGGATGTGATTGCATACTTCTGGTCTTGCTGCCTAACCCAGGGCTGCAGAGATGGACAAGAAGCACAATCAAGATCAAGACTGAATTCCCTAAGATACATTAGGAAAATTGCAGCAATTAAAGCAATCGAGGTGCATTACTCGAGCAGTTTGCTGATTGCAACTGGAAAAGAACTGACTGGAATGTCACTATTTCACTGTAAGTTCCCCAGCTTTAGGACTGTGAAATAGAGAGCACAGAGCTCTCAAGCCATAAGTAGCAGTATGTGCCACAGTGTAAGTAGTTTTGGCCATATGGGGCTTGTTCTGCATTTCCACACTAATGATGAAATCCTTGCACAGATTCATCCTGAAGTTAACACAAGACTGTTAGGAGTAATCAAGTAACAGAGGTTTCATTAACATTTATTTATTTTCAAGTTATATATTAGTTCACTGGCAAGTTAATGATTTGCTTTCTGACTGTATCACTTAAGAGTAATTGCAAGTTATCAAATCACAAACACAGCAGTTTTGTTATTTATCGTACACTTCGGTGGTACTTCAATTATACTGTTTACCACCAAGCTAAAAGGACAGAACTCAACCAGATCAACAGAACTCAAAAAGCGTACAGGTTAGCTACTATGAATTTTCTCAGTCAACCTTTCCAAAACTTCAGCAATGACTTCAAAGGCTACCTAAAAAGGTTTTCAGTAGTACTGGAAGTGTTCAAGAACGTTATGTAGTTCTGGGATCTATCGGGGGACGTTGCTAGTTTCATAAAAGGTGTCCAACAGCAGGTGGTATCAGGCAAGTTATTCTTGCTTTGTGCCTTATATTCCACATCTGTAAAATCAGAACAATACTTACTTTCTCTGCAAAAGGTATTGAGAGCTTTGTACTGCTACCGCTATGGGAAGGTCTCAGAACAATGACTAACATCATATTCATGCTGCAGTAACTAAAAATAAACCGGAGGATGGGGGAAGGGATTGAAGAGCTTATTTTCAGATTCTTCATTTTGAGGTTTAATTATGCATCCTCTTCTCAAAATGATAATCCGATTTATTTAATGCAAATATTACAGCACAGCAAAATACTTAAACAGAAGCTTAATCGATAACGACAGGTGGTGTTATAGCGACAGCACTGTATATCCCCAAGTACTCATAAGAAACATTTAAAACAGAATTCACTCAGCAGCGAACCATGCTAACCAAAAGGATGGCAGAGCTCAGGTTGTAGTTCTGAATATTTTGACACATTGTTATGTTGTCCTGAACAGATGAACACTTGCAGTCTTAGGAAAGTGACGTAAAAATATGTAATGTAAACAATTCTCAATAGATGACACTGAACTTACTTTTATTAGGGTAGAAACAACTTCAAATGATCCAACCACCAAAAGTACAGGTGCTATGACAATGAGGGGAAGTAGGGAATATCCTATCACACCAAGAACTTGGCCATAAGCAACCTGAAATTTTCAAGCATATACAAACAAGTTTTTTAGTACTCAATCTTTGTCACCAAACACAATCTGATCTTGTTATAACAGTATCAATAGTCATAATAATATGTTAGGTATTCATGAAACTTCAGCTAAAGGAAGCTTGCTAGTATGAAAATTACTTTTGTATGCTACCCCCTAGAATTTGGTAATTAATCATGTTGGTTGTTTTTTTTTGGTTTTTTTTTTTTTTGAACAGTGTAAATCACTTCCAAGGTAAGAATTTACACAGGTTGAAATATGTAATTCCACTCACCCATCTTCATGTTCTGCCTTAAGCAGTTCCCAACTACTACTCTCCACGGAGAGTACAAATGATAGCCAGGAGCACAGAACTACAACAGACCTCTCAGTCGCCAGCTGTAGTCCTGGCTGTCACAAGCAGCAAAGATATAATTTGCTGCATCAACATACCCATAGCCATTACACATAAATACATTCACAAAGTATATTAATGCTTTTGGCGTCAGTGGAAGACCTAGAACCTGATCCCTTTAAGGCACAGAAATCTTCTAACTTCCAGGTTAAATTTATTATGACTACCTTAAACAGATTTGTTCAAAATATTTGCACAACTGTTTTTAGCTTCATGGGGATTAAAATGTCTGATTTTCCCCTACTAGGGCTTGAAATGTTCCTAGGCCCAGCTAGGCAGCTTGGATTTAACAGGAAAAAACAGTGGCAAGACCAGGGACCATCTTGCAAGTAATCTCTTGTGGCTGGTGATCCTTCACAGTGAACTGGGCAGACCTATACTCTCTCCCCAGTTTATACATTCTGATAATTCCACATTTTGAGCCACAACACTGATTGATTTAAGGGCATCTGGATTATGCTGGTATGCAGAAAAAACATGCAATCACATTTATAAAAGCTTTTTCTTTCAAAACAGTGTTCACACAAGAAGATTCTAGCAATTATGATTGAAAGGAAAATCTAAAAAATTAAAGTAAATGTAAATAATACAGGAAGTCTGCAACACTGGTTCATCATTACTGCAAGATGCATAGTAAAAGTATTTTAAAATCAAGTATCACTGAATATTTAGTTCTTCATGACACGTGTTCAATGCATTTTATGCTGCAGAGCCATTTAAGAAGCTTCTACCCTCCTGAATGTTCTGCTGTAGCTGTCTGTGGGCCTTGCTGTAAATCATTTTTTGTTGTTTACACCTGAATCGCTTAGTGACTCAATTTGTAAACAGCTCAAACAGCTATTCCAACTCCGCTGCTGCAAGCAGCTAGAGGGAGGGATGTAGGCCAGAATTTCAATTGGCTTTGCAGTTGAACGTGTGCTGACTTTCATCCTTTAATGAGTTTGAACTGCATCAAGCCAAGGATCAAAACAAACACTGGTAGGTGCTCTACCCACAGGGGCATTATACAACTGCTGTTAGCCCCATTAGCAAAAAAAAAATTAAATAAAGGGCAGTGCAAGAGCAGTGCAAAGGAAGAGAAAGGCACTCATTTAGCTCAGTGACCGAAAAACTGAAAGCACTTGTCCCTCAAGAAGGGACTTCAATTCTTGATCACAGGCACCTGTTAGAATTTCTAGGATTCATAGTACAAATTCTTAGATTGTTTATCACATCCAGTGTGCCATCCATCGCACAGCAAGATTAGCTGACCATCTCTGTATTTTAGATTTTACTTTGGAGGCCAAGAACCTGAAATGTAGACCTTACAATTAAAAACTATATCCATTCTTAGCCAGCTAAGGTGGAAAACCAAGCACCAAGAAAACCCAACTACTACTGAAAAACGCAGCCAAGAGACTTTACATTACCTCCCGCTATGTCCTTTTCACCTACAGGTACTTACTTCTCCTCCAAGAACCCTGGCCAGTAAAAAAATTGTTAAGGATCCAAATATCCAAATAGTTATAATCCAAGAAACAACCTTAAGAGATAAAGAACAATTAATTTACATTAAGCATTTTAATTGTGAGAAAGTAGAACTCATTTTGTTAATCACTTTCACTGCAGTTTTTGTTACACAAAACTGAATTCTGAATTGCAGCAAGAGTAGTTTTCTTAGTATCACAATGCAACTTGAGAATAAATTTCAGAGGTTACACTTAAGAGAATCACATTAATGGTAAGTTTGGTGAACACAGAATGCACATGTAATGTGCTCTGTAAGTCTTGTAATATTGTATCAGAGCAGTTTAGTTAAAACTAAAGCTAAGATCACCCTAGCTAAATGTCTTCCCATCCCACCTATTACAAAAGCTGGCCTCAGACAGCTTTTAAAAGTCAGCCCAAACAATACAAGGAGTTTTATTTCTGTTTCTTTCATACACAAAGATGCCATTTTATTCTTTACGCAAACTGAGAATGCTCACAAGAAGACATGGGACTTTAACTCTCAGTAGAATTTGATGCTGACTACAACTAAGAGACAGCTTCAGACTCCTGGGACAAAGTCTGTAAATATTTTTTCTTGCTTCTTTCATTGGTCTGCTCTTAAACTGAAGAAGAAATCTTAAACTAATTCTCCAGCTTAACAGAACCTTCAAAGTAAATTAGCTGTTCTTGGAGTTGAGGCACCAGGAGGATTAGAAGTGAAGCTCTCCTTTTTGAAATACTTTTTTAGAGGGCAACAACAATATCAGTCCAGTCTTTATTTCCAAATGTACAATGGTTGCACTTAAAAATGTAGTTAGTACTCAATTTTTTTTTTGCCTAATTAAAAGTTCCAGATTCACAGAAGAATAAGAGAGGGGATGACTTTTCTTTAAATTTAAGAAGAGATAAAAATCAGGACACCACTTGAAAAAAATTAAGATATAATGGCTTTATGCTGTTTGTGAAAATAGTGCATGGCCTCCTTTTACTTCCTCCTTTCTTCCACTGTCTAAAAGAAGAGGACCAGATTAAGGTCTTAGAGCAGGACTGCTCATCTCTCTCCAGCTTACAGCCCGCTGTTCAGTTCATCTAGTCTAGCTGCTGTCAGTCATCCCGGAGCTAGCTACCAGCTTTCCCTCCTCACACATGTACAACACTCCTACACCAGTACGGTAAATCTGCTGTTCCTGAGAAACATCAGGCCTGCTGTTCACGTACAGCAGCTACACAAACTGCAGAAGGCAGTCTGTCTGTCATGGGATCAAGGAATGGTCCTTGCTTTGCCCAGGGGACAACTAAGTGGTCCACTTGAAAAACACAGTGTTAGTCTACTTACTTCACATCTCATGGAAACAAGATACTGAGAGGGAGTTCTTAGTCAGCATCTGGAACACCATATGGAAGCCAGAGGTCGCAAAGGGAATGATTTTATCTCACCACTCACGAAAATCCTTGCATAAGCACATTCTGTTACTTTACCTATGGCTGATTGCTATACTAGGTTGGATTTAAAACAACTGTAACTACACATATAGTCATAAAGATTTGTGAGGCAGGATCACCTAGGCTCACATCCAAATTTCAACAATAAATGATACCACTTCTCTATTTCAATCGGAACATAAACAAAAAAAAGCTAACAGTGTTCATGGAGGCCAACTAAATCTGCCCAATACCTCTGAATAGCTGTTCACCCTAGAGTTCAAAAGGAATTATGGAAAAAGTTTATTGACCAGAGGAAAGTTATTTGACTACAATTGAGCACAGAGGACAAAATAGCAAATGGCACTAATGAAGATTAAATGTACCCAACAACAGTGTGACATAGCACAAATTAAACAAGTAGCTTCATTTGTCAGGAAATTAAAAATCCTGGCATCCAAACAAATGCTCTTTGGTAAAATTTTTTAGTAATAAAAAGCACATTAACAAAAGGTCACAATTAAAATTGCAAGATTCACTAATATGACTATAAACCCATTAGTATCAATCTGTTCCCCCTAGAAATCATGTCTTTCCTTTGCTTTACTGTATAAAAACAAACCTGACATTTCATCATCATGAACTTATCTGTGGGCTATTTAACACATTTCTTACTGCTGTCTTTCTATATATTAACTTGAGAAACAGCATTTGAAATGGCCCACACTAGTATGTGAGGAAAAGACTTTCTACCTACATAAGAATGCAAATTGCTTAGCAATCATGTCCCCAAATTGTTTAGATTTCTTTTTAGGTAGAAGGCTTATACCTACCTTAAATTGTCCATATAAAGAAATCATTGAGAAGAAGAGGACAACTGCCAGAGGACCCCAAAAGTCTGGATTGTCTCTCACTACCTGTCTATTAAACCCAAGAGATGGCATAGGCATCAACACACATCGAATTTTGTAGTAAATATCCTTCAGATCAATGTCGAGTTCTTCCCTGAAATTGTAAAACAAGAGAACATTACTATACACCACAGTAATAAAATAGAGCATAAAAAAGTAAGTTTGTGGGCAAACAGCAGGGTTATAGAGCAAGCCTGCTGTCACCCATAAGGCCTTCTGAAGCCAGTACTAGCAAAGGAACAGTTTGTGCACAACAAAGCAATGCTGTCCCTTCACCAGGCATTCAGTAACCAGTGTGACACAGATATATTTAATTATTCAAAAATCAGTTAACATGACTGAGAATAGAAAACATACACAACATACTCCAACAGCCTCCATTAACACGGTAGACCTATTTTCTGACATGCAAGAACATGACACATCATATCACTGTAACTACTTAAAAGTCAAAGACATGCACACAGAAAAGTAGGCTGTCTGTGCGTTCCTATGCTGAGCAGTTTCACAGAATCACAGAATGTTAGAAATT